AAAATCTTAAAAAAAAAAAAACACCAGGAAGATTTAAAATGCTTATCTGGCAGTAGCCACTCTCATTAAAATTAAAACCTCTTTGTACTCTTTTAGACACTGGGCAATACACCAGACATTCACACTTCAAGAGACAGTAACAAATTTCAAGGGGAAGTCATGAGCTTTCTGCTTTGCTCAAGAAGTCTGAAGTATTGGGACGCCTGGGTGGCACAGTTGGTTAAGCATCCGCCTTTGGCTCAGGTCATGATCCCAGGGTCCTGGGATGGAGTCCCACATTGGGCTCCCTGCTCAGCGGGGAGGCTGCGTCTCCCTCTGCCTGCCGCTCTCCCTGCTTGTGCTCTCTCTCTCTCTCTGACAAATAAATAAGTTTCAAAAAAGTCTGAAGTATTTCTGAGTAGCTTACAAGTTCCACAAAGTCTGCAAAAATTCATGATATAATGGGAATTAACTTCCAGTTTCCAAAGCTAGAGCTACTGGTGTTAACTTACACTGTTCCCTCTCCTTCCCACCCTATATCTAATCCATCACAGAGACCTGTCTCCCAAGTTTGTCCCCTTCTTTCCCACATCATCTGCCTGTGCCTCAAACTACCAGACCATCATTTCCTATTTTGTTTCCTGCAACAGTTTCTTTGGTTTCCCTTGGCTCCCAGCTCTCCTCTCTATTACTCATCCTGTTCAACATGCCTGAAAATGTGCTTACTTGTTTAACCACTTCTTTATACCCTGTTTCATTCCTACAAGTAGACTAGTCATCCCAAGCCATTATTTACAGGAGACAGACTGTTAGGGACATCAGGAAGAAATATAGATGGAAGAGGCATAACAGGATACTTGAGGAAATCGAATGTACTTGCTAAACCCCAAATCTGGCACATGATCAGAGATGAGGTTTCTGTCCTGCTTTCAGATGTTGAAAGTAGTCTGAAAAATGTAATTTCAACACCAAATATGTTGGAATTTCCATGATTGATGGTAAAGGGGAAGAGGCATAGAACAAAAAACAGGAACTATCCCAGAAAAAATCTAGGCCATGTGGCTTAAGTAGGTATGAAGGACTATGGTAGGAAAGGAAAATTACAGATATACAATCTCTTGGCCTAAATTGCTGTCTCATCTAGGAAAGTTTACATGGCTTCCTCGAGCAGGGGTTTTAGAATTTTTTATACTGTTACAAAACTCAGCATCCTGATACACAATGGGACTCCTAATTAAACAACTTCAGGTAATCTTGGCCATTCTATAGCATTTATGGTGTTATCCATGTCTGGGAAGTTCATGTTAGGAGGACTACCATGCCACTGTATTGCTGCAGGTGATCCATGTAAGCCTAGGTAATAAACTCTGCTCCAGGGGCGCCTGGGTGGCTCAGTCATTAAGCGTCTGCCTTCGGCTCAGGTCATGATCCCGGGGTCCTGGGATTGAGCCCCCATCGGGCTCCCTGCTAAGCGGGAAGCCTGCTTCTCCCTCTCCCACTCCCCCTGCTTGTGTTCCCTCTCTTGTTGTGTCTCTCTCTGTCAAATAAATAAAACCTTTAAAAAATAAAAAACTCTGCTCCACAAATGCTGAATCCTTTGAAGTTGCTGAAAGCATCTATGGGTGACATTATGATTCAGATATCCACTGGCAAGTCAAGACTTGCAAATATTTTCAAAATCAGAAGCAATGAGATATCTTAGCCACCTTTAATTCTTTTGGGAACAAGCCAGGTGGATCTAAAAACAAAATGACCCACAACTCTGTGAATATACTAAAAACCACTTAATTGTAAACTTTAAATTGGAAATGGTATGGTATGTAAATTACATCTCAATAAAGCCTTTATTTTAAAAACCAACAAACATATTTTAACCAAAATGTTAGTTTCCAGAAATGTTATATCCTAGGAACCTAGTTATTGCCCTTAAATGTTTATACTGCCGGAAAAGTTTACAAAATGGAAGCCCTGATAAATTACTGTGACAAAACCATTATCATTTTAGCTATAAAGAATAAACTGAATGGTCTCTTTCCTTTCACCATAATGGGAGCTGATCTGTATCACACATCAAAATCTGCCTTTAAGCTCTGAATGACATTTTTTAAAAGGGCACTTTTCAGATTTAACCACTATGTTGAATACCATAATTATGACATGTCACTAATATATCTTTCTTTGCAATCTACTCCAGAACTTCCTTCCCTATAATCCTCTGTGAGGAAAAAAATCCTTGTGTTTATCCACTGACTTAACTTCTAATGATTTCCCTCTTCTAATAATCACTACCCAAGCTTTTATCTCTACAATCACTCCAACCTTCCCCATGTCCCGACCCATTCCGTAATTTCTACTTATAAATACCACACCAGCTGTCTGCCTGCTGTGGAGGTAACAACAGGTTATTTATGCTCCCAGATATTCAAAGTAGGTCAAAAATAATAAGAAACAGACTATGAGTCCTTTGAGGGAAAGGGCTGTGTCTTGTTCACTGTTAGAACCTCTCAATATTGGGCGCCTGGGTGGCTCAGTCGGTTAAGCGACTGCCTTCGGCTCAGGTCATGATCCTGGAGTCCCAGGATCGAGTCCCACATCGGGCTCCCTGCTCTGCAGGGAGTCGGCTTCTCCCTCTGACCCTCTTCCCTCTCGTGCTCTCTGTCTCTCATTCTTTCTCTCAAATAAACAAATAAAATCTTAAAAAAAAAAAAAAAAGAACCTCTCAATATTAAGCAGAGTACCTGGTACCCGGGAAGTGCTCAAGTAATATTTTGACCCACCATTAAGCTACAGCCCATTCACAGAAAGAATTAGTCAACAAATAGCCAAGAGATTAGAATATACTTAGGCATAAATGTATTTGGAAGGCAATTTAAGCTCAACTCACTCTTGATGTCGAAACCAGTCTGTCTTTACAATGACTAGACGGTGAATTTTAAGAGTGTGTGATGAAGCAATGAACAAAAGCCAAAACCTTGAGATTTAAAAATCACAGTATTTAAAAAAATTTTTTCTTCTCAAAAATTATCTTGGGAGAAAAATGGCTGATCCAAGACCAAGAGCAATTTATTATCCAATCAGTCTCTAGTTAAGCAGCCTACAATTAGGCAGCTCAGGGATGGACTCCTCACTGTGCACAGTGAAGAATGGAGGGCTATACAAAGTAACTAGGGAATGTTTACAGACCTATATCTCTTCATGGGAAAATGCATCCGATATTTCTCAGTACCTACCTCAATACTTTCATTATGAGGATTAAATGAGTTAATATTTGTAAAGCACTTAGAGTAGTACCTGGCACATAGTTAGCACTGTATCAATGTTTTATTAATAAAGTAACCAAATCAGTTTTCAATTACATTCATTCATACATTAGAGATCTACAATGCCTAAGAAAATTACCAGATTTAAAGAGAAGTTCCAACTGTGCACTCTTTTTAAGTCTGTGGCTGGAAAGAAAGGGGTCCTAGAGAATGTTTTATGCAAACTCCTCATCTCGTGGTTGAATTAATCCTATACCAATTTCTTGAGAAATTCACAGGTTACAAAAGCTTTCCCATCTAATTCCCAGGTTTGATCCTCACAAGAGCCTTGAAAGAGATGCAGAGCAGGTATAATTAACTCCACTTACAGATATGAGACAACTTAACAAAAGAAGTTAAGTGACTTGTCCAAGGTCACACAGTAAGTGAAAAGGCCTGGGCTAGAATCCAGATCTCTTTTTTTTTTTTTAACATTTTATTTATTTATTTGCCAGAGAGATACACAGCGAGAGGGAACACAGGCATGGGGAGTGGGAGTGGGAGAAGCAGGCTTCCCGCGGAGCAGGGAGCCCGAGGCGGGGCTCGAGGCGGGGCTCGATCCCAGCACCCTGGGATCATGACCTGAGCCAAAGGCAGACGCTTAACCATCTGAGCCACCCAGGCACCCCTAGAATCCAGGTCTCTTGACTGCAGGTCCAGACTTCTAACAACATGCTGCAACTTGGGTCCTGGGCTTACTTGGGTCACGTTTGCAAACAATGATTCTAAGATCCTAAATGGAGATTCTGCTGCCAACACAAACTTGGAAAGTGAAGCCCATTCTGTTAACTGGAACTAAAGGTAATTAAATCGTTGGCAAAACATCTACGTACAGTAGAGTTATAGTATAAAATGCCATGACGACACACATTCACCAAGCACCACACATTCACCAAACACCACACACTGCCCAAGACAAATTTTCAGAAGCCTTCAAAGGGACAGTTCTCCAAAATATGCCATTCAGAGATTAGCAGACCCAGAAAATACTGATGTCGGTATAAGAAAGAAAAGGCTGCCGCTTTCCTTAAACTAAACCCTGAAGGAAAAGGCTCGCCCCGGCGATGGTGAAGACATGGAGCATAACAAGGCTCTAAGGGATTACACGTAGGTAGCAAACTCCCAGGGACGAACGAGAACCGACCATCCCAGCCCGTGAATCATCTCGCATTTATCCGGCTGCATCTTCCTCAGGGGCTCACCACCCCACGGAAGCCATCTGAAACCCGGCAGCTAAAGGTGAGAATCGACTGGTGACCGTTTGCAGGATTCCAAATAATCTCACAGAAAGGTTGGCCGGTGGTAGAAGTGGCACCGCATACCAACACAAGACGTTATTTTAAGCGCCTGTCCCCACGGGAGGGACCATCTGATCTAGCCGATCAAGCATCTCCCGCGCAGCCAGGATTTTTCCAAAACCAAGCCGGCGGCCAGGGCAATCCTGACACAGGCCCCCTTCCCAATCCGAAACCCGCTGAGCACGCAGCCCGGGGAGCGTGGCAGGGGCCACAGAGACCGCCGAGAGAGGCCGCCCTCCGCCACCTTCCCCAAAAGAGGAAGGCGCCTCTGCGGCAGGCGGGCCCGGCTAGGGATTTTGAAATGCTGGGGAAGAGGGTGGTGCAGCCGCCGGGCCCTCGCGCCCCCGCCCCACGCCAGCCTGACAGCCGGCAGCGGCCCGCCGCGCGGCCCCGTCCCCACTGCGCGGCCCGCGGGCCGCCTTACCTTTGTGTAGAGCTCGGACGCGGCCATGGCGGGGCCCCACGGCGCCGACGCCCCCCCGCCCGAGCGGAGGCCGCACCTCGCCTGGGCGGCCGCCCGCGCCGACTAGGAAGCGCCCAGGCAGCCGCCGGCAGGGAGCGGGGCAGGGCCGGGTGGGGCGGGCCGCGCCAGGCGGGGCGGGGCGGGGCGGGGCGCCTCAGGCGCTGGAGGCCCGCGGGGGCCTGGCCATCACTCCCGGGCTCGCCGCGAGCAGGCGCGAGCGCTCCGCGTGCCCGGGGTCCTCGGGGTCGCCGCCGCAGCCCCTTCGGCGGCGGGTGCTGCTGCTGCCGCTGCTGCCGCTGCTGCCGCCGCCGCCGCCGCCCTGTGCATTGTGGGAGCGGGAGGAGGCTGCGCTTCGGCGCTACCACCGCGGCTGCTCCGGGCTCTCTCCGGCTCACGCTGCCTCCCCTCGGCCGCCGGCCCCGAGCATCATCGGCCTGCCAGCCTGCGCGGCCGCCGCGTCCTCCCGCGCCGCCGAGGCCCAGAAGCCCACCCCCGACCACTCTTCCGCGGCACACCTGCCTGAGGGCGCCTCACACACCGAACGCCCCTCTCCCCCAAGCGAGCCCTGGACCGTGCAGAATGGCCCAGCCACCGAGAGGGGTGGCGATTGCTGGTGTCACTGCGTGTGTCCAGGTAAAGGACTGGGAGTCTCCAGCTGCTTTTCCTATCCTTCCAAGCATTTCTAGGGAAAGGATTTGGGAGGAGGCTTCTTCGAAGTCAATAGAACAACCTAGAACTCCAGAAGAATCCTGTTAGGAGCAGTGGTCTGGGAGCTAGGCAGTGAGAACCAGTTATCTGAGATAGAGGATCACCAAGGTCACCTTAAACACCTAGGCATCTGCCTGGGTATCGGTTCTTGAAACAAGATGGCCCCAGGAGGCAGCCCAGGCGCCTACCTCTCCTAGGCCTATGTGTTTGCAGAGGTATACCACTACCCTTCTGCCCCAGTCCCCTGCCTCCTCCTGTTCCCCCTAGTGATTAGCGATTCCATGGTGCCGCCAGAAGCTATCCAGATGCCACCTGAAAATTGCAGGGGGCTTTTGTGGAAAGTCCATACTGCAAATGAATTCTGTATCAAAAGGTCAAAAGATGGGGCGCCCGGGTGTCTCAGTCGGTTAAGCCTTAGGCTCAGGTCATGATCTCAGGGTCCTGGGATCAAGCCAAGCAGTGGGCTCCCTTCTCAGTGGGGAGTCTGCTTCTCCCTTTTCCTCTGCCCCTCCCCCTCATACCTGTCCCCCATGTTCATGCTCTCTAATAAATAAATAAAATCTTAAAAAAAGAAAAGGTCAAAGGAGTCTCAAGAGTGGCATTCAAGGGGCGCCTGGGTGGCTCAGTCGTTAAGCGTCTGCCTTCGGCTCAGGTCGGGGATAGGGATCGAGCCCCACATCGGGCTTCCTGCTCAGCGGGAAGCCTGCTTCTCCCTCTCCCACTCCCACTGCTTGTGTTCCCTCTCTCGCTGGGTCTCTGTCAAATAAATAAAATTAAAAAAAAAAAGTGGCATTCAGTCTGCTCACCCTTACCCTCGCACATCAAGAACAAGAATGTGGTCTTTCCACCCCTGTCCTCATACGGTCTTCACCTTCTACCTGCTCTGCACTCACCACACTTTCACTCCTGGTTGACTAATCTCCATATTTTTTTCAACCTAGCCTCTTATTTCTTTAAACTTTTATGCACCTGTCCTGGCAATCTGGGATGGTTTCTACCAAGACCACGTCTCAAGGCTGGCCCCTTGGTTGTGTGTGTATCCTGCATGTATGTGAAGGAAGACCATTGCCATGGAGAGTGGGGACGCTTGGGACCAGTCCTCATCCCCTGGAATTCAAGCCTGTCTTTTCCTTGCTCACTGCCCACAATCCCCTCACAGATGCCATAGGTATTGGCTACAGAGTCCAAAGACCCAAAGAATTCTCTCTGTTCCCTCCAATTCTAAAATCACATCTCTTTCATGTTTTGGGGTCCTACCCTTTCTTTGTCCAGACATAAAAAGGGAAAATGTGCCACTATGACCAGTACAACAAGGACACTGGATTGAGATTTAGGAGGCTTGAATTCTACCCCTTATCATTTCTTCATGCCTTGTGTAAGGTGGTAACCACTGCTTTCTCACCCTCAGATAATTCTTACCTCTCAGGACTGTTGGGAAATGCTGATGAAGGAGCTCAGGGCATACACCCCAGGGTATGCTGCTTTGGCATAGGGTTTGGAGGATTTGAAAAACAGCAAATACAAGAAAAAAACATTCTGACTTTCCTTCTTTTTCTTAAAAGCAGGAAATGAAATTCCATTATGAAAGATGTCCTCCCTATACCAGAAGGAAAGTAACATTCTTATCATCAAGGAGAAGCTGAGACCAAGAGAATTCTGCACCAACAGACCTTTGTTAAAATAATTCTTATCGTCCCTTCACCTGCCCACATAGTTTAGTCACTTTTCCACAATTGCCTCTTTGTTTGACCCAATGCAAAAGCAAGCAGGTTTTGTCATTTCTTTGGGTCTTCATTATGAATGCTCCTGTATCACATAAAATAATATAAATATATATGTTCCTTCTCCTTTTAATCTATCTTTATCAGTTTAATTTTCAGACCCAGCCAGGGATCTTAAGAGGGTTGAGGAAAACTTTTTCTTCCCCTATATTGACAAAAAAACTAAAAAACTAAGAAACTAAAAAAAGGGTCTTATAGATATGAATCTGGTTTTTTTTTTGGACAGGTAGAAAAAGAAACTAGAATTATTGTCTTCTAATTCCTGAACACAAGCATTCAACCACTCAAATTTTGGGGGCCACAGGAGAAAGGTAGTGGGTATGAGGAAGGGGAGAAGGAGCCTCTACCCTTGACGTGACTTTACCTCATTCAGAAAAAGAATAGACTTAAAAGCCAAAAAAAAGCAACAAGGAACCCTAATGGCTGGCCTCCCTTGCTTAACCATGTATATTCACAGTCCCAAGCACTTTGTCATTAATGAAGTATGGAAACCAGCAATAGTTACAACTTTCCGGGATTTAGGATTCCCCCCTCCCAAAGAGTAGCCAAATGTCATTGTATATTTTAAGTCAATAAAGTTCTCAATTGTCACTTTATAATTGGGAACATTTTCATGTAGTTTGTCTTCAAATAAAAACAATGCCCAAATTAATGTGAAAAATCCCTCTCCTCCAAAACATTCCTGAGTATTACTTTTTGCAACAAATAATTGAGAGCTACCATGTGCAAGAAACTGTTCTGCATACTGAAGATTTATGAATGAATGCACAACACAAATAAAATCTCTGACCTCATGGAGCTTACATTCTAATCAGGGAGACAATTACAAAGGTAGAAGGTAAGGTGGCAAGTATTCATTTGCTGGGGCTGCCGTAATAAGGTACCACACACTATGACTTTAAACTGTAATGGGCTGTATGGTCTGGAGGCTAGCAGTCTCAGATCAAAGTGTTGCAGTGTTGGTTCCTTCTCGAAGCTGGGAGGGAGACTCTGTTCCAGGTCTCTCTCCTGCATCCTAGTTGTTTGCTAACAATCTTTGGCATTCATTGGATTCTGCTGCCCGCTCCAGTCTCAGGCTTCATCTTCCCTAGCATTCTCCCTCTGTGCATGTGTGTCTGTGTCTACATTTCACCTTTTTATAAGGATACAGTCATGCTGGACTAGGGTCCACCTTAATGACCTCATCCTAACATAATCATCTACAAAGACCTTATTTCCAGTTAAGGTTTCATTCAAGGCACTGGGGGTAGGAAGGACTTAAGCATCTTTTGGGGATGAAGAGGGGGGACACAATTCAACCCATAACTGTGGGCAATGGAGAAAAACTAGGGAAGACAGCAATGTCAGCAATAGTAGGGTGGTCCTTGCTTTATTAAAATTGAAAAAATAACTTTATGGAGGGCCTAATTTGTGTCAGCACTTAAGATAATAAAGATAGAAATGAATGAAATATGGTCCTTGACCTGGGAGAGCTCACTGTAACGAGTAGCTGCAGGAGTAGGGGAAGGGACAGTCCATGCTGCATGGCCATTAGTAATTCTAATTCTGTAAGATTAGCCCAATTCTAGAGGCAGAGGCAAAGCACTGTTCCTGGTTAATTAGTTGGCATTTACATATCCTATTATTTAGTATTTCAGAGGATTAGACACTGGGCAAGAGTAACATTTGAGTGGGTGGGGAAGAACCTTAAATAGTTCACTGAAAGAGCTAAATAATGTTATATATGGGAGGCGATTTATTATCAAAAGATATATAAAGGAACAGCATGAGGGAACAATGCTATGAAGCAGAAAAGCCAAAGTTAAGAACAGAGTAAGACTGGTGCTCCTGGGGTGGCTCAGTCCAATAAGCAACTGACTCTTGGTTTGGGCTCAGGTCAGGATCTCAGGGTTGTGAGGTCAAAGTCCACACTGGGCTCTGTGCTGAGCTTCTCTCTCCCTCTCCCACTGCCCATCCCAGCCTCTCTCTCTCTCAAATAAATAAATCCATCTTAAAAAAAAAAAGGATAGAGTAAGTCTGACCTAAAAGACTGCCAGTTTACCTAGCTCCCTCCTACCTCTGAGTTTAGGTATAGCCACACTTTAAGGCTCCTAGGGCAAGAATTAAAAGTATAGTCCTTAACTCAAAAAGGTACAATTATTTTTATTTCCAGTACCTATTACTCTAATTCTAGATTCTAATCTTGTGTGTCCTAAAATATCTGTGTGATCTCTGGCCCTTTGTTCCCAGTCTTCTGCCTGTGTCCTAACTACCAGCTATTTGACCGGTCTCTGCATCTCTATGCCTGGTTGTTTGGTATCTGATTCCCCCATCAGTTGATGTTCTGGATCATGAAATGCTTTCTGCCCATATCCATAGCACTCACCTGCTTTATATTGCCCTGATCTTCCCGAATTACTTGAGTTTAAGTACTTACTAGCCAGTCTCATCCTGTACCTTCAACAACCAGACACACAGAACTTCCATGTGGTAGTTGGTGGAAGGTTCTCACTAATGAAATGACTTAGATTCAAATGACCTTGATTCTAGTCCTAGTTCTAACGGGACTAAGCTACCTAGCCC